GCGGGGTATCTGTGAGGACCCTGGTCGTTATCAGCTCTGCACTGTTTCAGTGTATCCTGATGCCTGAAATCTCGGACACTGCCTACGTACGGGGTAGACAGCCACGGATGATTTTGTCTGTGAGCTTTTCATCACTTCCTGACATGAGCCAGACCTCAGCTGGATCCTTCCATTTCCTTTTTCTTAACTTCCCGTTCAGTCTACCTCTTCATCATCAGTTAGAGCTGCCTCGCCTTGCATTCGAACTTTGCCTCCACAGTTCACCACGGCACCTCTTTTGGTTGCCTCCTGCCGGGCAACACTAGCTCTCAGACACTGGCTAACTTACTGCGCACGGTTTAGTTTCTGTGTCTTTTCTGTGGCCGTGCGTTCCGTTTTATGCCACCCTCTCTGCCGTTCTCGCGCTTGCGCTCACCCACTCCTCAGTGGGCTGTTCATTTGACAGAGTTACTGGCTGGCACTTCCATCATTTTCTCACTCACCATCACTGCCCAATCAAATTTATGGAATCAAAATCACTATACACCCATGATCATAATATGATCAAAACACAAAGCTTTGAAATATACTTTTTTCTGTTTGAGATTTGAATAACGTTACTGTAATGTTCCAAATTATATATTTTTTTAATTACTAGCAGGAACCCGTATAACCCTAAAAAGGTGCCAAGACTCAAGACTCAAAAAATAATTATTACCTTTTTAATTCGCGTTTTTGACACCACTTGGGGGTCCAAATTTTGGGCTCTAAAATTCCTGTTGGCCAATTTTTTATTTTTTCATGCTGATTTGGAGGCCATTAAAACATTTGACCCAGTCAAAAAAGTTTCAGTTGTATATCTTTTACGGTTTTTGCGGAAAGTCGCGTTAAATTTGATGCCGTGGTGTCAGTAAAATGGTACGGATAAACATATATCGTCTCGCTATATATATACAGTAAGATAGTACTTAAAACGATTCCTTAGAACAGTGTTTGCGATATATTAGCTTATGTAAATACATAGGCTTGTAAGTAAATACTTCTAGAGAACACTCTAATTGAAGCGGGAAAGATTTTTTCCTGACTTATCCCTGTTATATTATTATACGATCTCCTCGGTTGCTCTAACAAGCGGTATAACATAAATGGACGGGGTATAACAGATGATTTGAACGTGATTTCAGAGAGGCAAGTGTGTAACTATCATCAGTGGACTGTTATAAATAGACAGATCTCTCTCATTGTTTGATTTGGTGATAAATACAGTAAATGCGACTGAAATTACGCCAATTTTGCAGTTGCTACCTGTCTTTACTAGGGTATGTGTAGCCCATATTTATAGTTAGCTCAGTTATTACATGCTATGGAAGATGTGAAGATTTATGGTAGGTATTTAATTTACTGTTAGGCTATTGTGCATCCTATTTTTAAAATTACTTTCAACACAAAAATTTGCTTTCAAATACAAAGATTTGCTTTCAAATACAAAGATTTGCTTTAAAATACAAAGATTTCCGATTATGAAAGTTATAACAATTCAGAAAAAATAATAACTCATCGAGAAAAACAGTTGAGGATTGTAGATCATTTTAATGTAGATTGTAACCGAAGGCGACCTAATTAAATATTTCAGTCAATCTGACGTAGCCTGGACGCAGATATTCATATAGTAGATATAAAATAAAGGCAAAAAAAGTGTAGTCATATTGAAGTGTTAAGCTATCTCTACTCGAAACATCAAGTTTAAGAAATCTGGAATGTGTCACAGACGGGAAAGCAAAAAAGACAACCCCGATGACAGAAAAATACTGAATAATTTATCGTCGATTCAATAAGAGGTTAGAATTAGTATTAACTGAAAGAGAAAAGCATGTTTCCCTCCAGAGTCGGTGATATACGCGGACACAATGCCATCTATTGCAACGAATTTAATGTTGTCCTGGCGCTTAGAGAGCTTGTTCTAGAGTCTAGACCTGCTGTTAATTCTGTTAACAATCTTGCAAAATATACTGTCCTGGGAACAAGAGTCTAAAAATATGACTGATTTTTCCGTCCAATTATCAGTATATTATTTCAACTTAGTTGTACGTGATCAAACGTTTCTTAGTAAAGAATCTACCGCAATCCGTATTACTGTGCTACGTTTATAACTTTATAATAATTATATATATCTTTAAATCTTACTATATATAAAGCGAGACGATATATATATATATATATATATTTATTTATCCGCACCATTTTACTGACACCACGGCATCAACTTTAACACGGGTTTCCGCAAAAAAGATATAAAACTGAAACTTTTTTAACTGATTCAAATGCTTTAATGGCCTTCAAATCAGCATGAAAAAATCGAATATCGGCCAAGGAATAAGAATTTTAGTACCCAAAATTTGGACTCCCAAGTGGTGTCAAAAACGCGAATTAAATAGGTAATAATTATTTTTACTGGGAGACTTTAGGGTAGGAAACTGATCCGGCCACCAAAGAGCCTTTACACCACCAGTCTTAAAGGTTTGACGGGTTCCTGCTAGTTATTATAACCCATATTGGGCCAATTATTCCAGGCATGAATCCAATAATTTATAAACTTCATTAACCCCAGCAACACACGACTTTTTGACCTAGTTAAAAAAAACAAAACTCATAAAATCTTAAATTTAATAGAGCTCGTATTTTGACAAGGCAAACGAGGAATGGATCCCTCCAAACCTTGTACAACATCAAACGTGATGAAGAGAAACCTTAAAATTGCATAATCTTGGGCTCAGAACAAACAAAAAACAAAGGATTTAATTGCCCAAATTACATCCATAATTACGTTCATCGTGCATAATTAGTGTCAATTATGCTTGCTGTACTATTATATAATATGTCCAACTAAAACGTGCCAATTAGCTGAGCAATGAACTACTTCTAATATGTGCATTAATTATACAACATAGAGTATTATAATATGTGCATTAATTATACAACATAGATTATTATATATATAATATGCCAATATGTTACCCTCCCCCTCACAGTATTGATCAACAATCCTTCCGTCCGGCATCCAATAAGTTCTTTGAATTCTTTAAATTTTTTCTTCTTTGAAGATTGAGTCACAAGATCTTGATTGCCGTAGTACTACGTGATGTCGTGTTATATCAACAAAGGTGACAAGCAGCGATTAACAAGAAATGTTTTTATTATTTACTAGGTGTCTAGGACATATATCTATAAGTGAAGGATAATATGAAGTAACGAATAAAGATATCATAAAATAATTAATTGTGGGATCGGATAATTTATTAATAATAATATTATAAATTAAAGAGCACATCTAAGTTGAGTTTATCCAATTTTATGGGAATCCAAATATGTATGTTCTACACCACGCCTAGGTGTGGCATTGTACGTATTATGGACCAGTGTTCATCTTGTTACATTTCAAAAAACCTAAAATAAAAAAGTAACACAGCTCAAATATTTAGAAATTGCCTAGTGCCAGACAAAAATTCCGTAAGAATGATTAAAAAGTAAAAACGTCTGGGCTGCACTAAATGCAAATGATGTGTGAGAAAAAATGTGACCTTGCGAAAAAATACAGTTTGAAAATGAAGAAATGGAAATGATCAATCCAATTACAATGGAGGTGAACCGCTAAAGTATTTGATATTAGGTTACGGACCACAGATCGAATAGTGCACTTTTTACTCAACTTAATTTAATATAATCCGTGATTTGAGTTGATTATATTTTCCTAATCGGTTATGAAATGATGGTTAATGTGTTTTTCAAGTGAAGAGTACGATACCTCTCATTAAAACACGGGTAGTATGATAACTAAAGCTCGGAGTGAGCTGAAATAGAGGGTTGAGATTTAGTAATGAAGCTAAGGACTAGTAGAAACCTGTATACACCTTGATGCAGTCTGTTGGGACCATAAAAACTACGCAAGTTTAAAACTCGACTTATCAGAATTTTAAAGGTTAACACAGAAAGCTTACGACTAATGAAAAATATCAAATACTTTATGCCCTGTCAAAAACACTATATTTCGCACGTTAACGTCGAAAATATAACAACATTTGTGTGATAAACGTAGAGAGCACGGTTGGTTCCCTCTCCCAAATTGATCAAATGAAAACTTACAACGATTGCCCAATCAGAAGCTCGCAGCTACCAATGAAATACGTAAATCAGGGTCACGTGACACTGACATTTCATTCTTTTACCCTGCCGTTCTGCTGAAGTCAAGTCTGTTGTCGACACGTAGTTACAAGGAGTTTCCATGATAAACCTATCGCTAATTTTTCCTGCCTCGGTCTAATTCCAAACTTATAGGGTTTTGTCGTGAAAACGGCTGCTTCGCTCACGTGGATCGGGAAAATCGGACGATATTCAGGAATAGTCACTCGAATCTTTCTAATATATAATATGCAGTTATAAGAACAGAATCATTGAGGCATGTCACCTGGTGAGAAAGTCACTTATTTACCGTGCGTACAAGTTACACAACCATCAACACTTCGAGTTGCTTTGTCAATTTATAATTATGACTCAAATCGAGCCAAAGTTTGAGCTAAATATCTTAGATCCATTGTTGGGTCTGGAAAGTGATCACACTAACCGTATTTATGCTTGAAATTTCTGTTCAATTGAATATTTGTCGCTGTATTGAACTGAAATTATCCGAAACAAAGCTTCAGACCAAAACAAAACCTAGCGCAAGGAGTTCCACTATCAGTCAAATAGCTAAAACGTTACGTCTAAATTTACTTTATCATCGTATGAAAATTGGAATCAGCACCGCGCACAATGAACAATGTACAATGAACAATGCACAATGCACAATGCACCGCGCACAATGCACCGCGCACAATGCACCGCGCACAATGCACCGCGCACAATGCACATGCGCTACACTTAAAAACCACGTGTCAACTACGCACATTCTCATACTAACGTGGCAACTGCCCACACGTGACCTTTAAACTAAAACAACAGCATAACGAAACTGAACTAATTTAAACCTGAAACTGGGCAAGTCCGGCCAGCAGAGATGCCACACAGTAGATGTTATTGTACTTAACGTTCCAAACTCTGCACAAACATTTGACAGCGTACATTGCTACCTGAAATTAAAATCGGTTGTTAGAAATAAAACAGTTGCAGTGGTAAACTTTTTATTCAGTGAATTTGGTAATAAAATAATACAGAGGTATGCACCGGTAAGGTGAATGATTGTGAATGGTATTTTATGGTATTTTCAAACCAAAATAGACTAAACTTCCGCCACATCAGAATCCAGTCCTTTTGCAACCCTGCAGTTGGTCACAATGAGCTTTAATGGGTCATTGCAAAATTAAATTCGGCTTTAATTGTTCTTTCAAACAATTAAATTTATGAGTGTGATAAACTTAAAACAAATGGAGTTCACCTAAATAACCAATACGAATGCTCAGCTTTTTGGGATCCCGTAGATAAATGGCGTACAAGACGTCACATAACTTTGACCCCAATAATCTGACCAATTTTTCTAAATACCGAATACCGTAAATTGATGCTTGGAGGCCGGAGGGGTGTTACTGAAACATATATAATAGGTTCTATTGGGAGGAGCTTTCAAAATACATATTGTGTATACCGTCTGGTAAACGTACTGTAGGGTACGTGTCGCACTAGGGTACGTGTCGCACTAGGGTACGTGTCGCACTAGGGTACGTGTCGCACTAGGGTACGTGTCGCACTAGCGTTCGTGTCGCACTACAGTACGGAAATCATACCGTCTTCGGTTGTAAAATGATGTATTTTGCTCCGCTCTTTGGCCTTTATTCAATGAAGTGAGCCATTTAAAAAATGATACGTTATTTTTATTTTTCAATCTCCAAAGTTAAGAAGAATTATATTCAACTTGAGGTAATCTATCTACAATATGAAGCTTATGTCACTGAAGATGACGCCTTGCAACATGTTTGACGGTAGCCTGTAAATTGATAGTTTGATCTCAGTATTTAAAACAAATCATCTAGCTTGATTGATTCAAAAGGGAGAAAAAAATGCCTCAATATGACGTATGTTGATTTACATTCGTCGTAAATTTAATATCTCGTATTATAGGTTTTGGTAAATATTTTGCATATTAATATACGTTCGGAATGTGTTACCGTAGAAGTTCCGCCTCTATTTAGCTACAGTGTAACTATGTGTAACTATGTGTATAACTATGTGTAACTATAATACATCAGGAGTAGAATATTGTAGAGAGAAAATTGCAATAATACAGGTCTGAAATCAATACTGATGTGACGATATCTGAGCAGTAGTCAACATATTCTCTTCTCCATCAGAAACCTGTGACATGATCATATAAGGAAGTTGGTCTAATTTCTCGTTAGGGCAAGGGTTTCAGCATATGCTTCAGTTAGAGATTGGGTTCTAGAGTAAGGGTTGGGTTCAGAGTAGAGGTTTGTGGTTTGAATAGTCACTGCGGGGTAACAAGTAAACGTGTTTAAGTGAGTCATGTGATTATCGAGTGTGGAGTGATTAATCGCCATCTAGCGAGAACTCCCTTCACCCATCAATTAAAACAGAACAGTTTTGTATGGCCCAGCGATTCAACGAATCTGAATAAAGCTCAATGATCAAGGTTTGCGAAGCGGACTTCGAAGTACTGATTTCAATGATATTTTGTGAATGCTTGTCGCGACTTGTAGCGATATCCAACTAAATATTGACAATTTTGACCACCCCTCATTTGAATAAGAAAGCAGGGGTGACTGGTGAGTAGATACCAGACGTGACGACTCGCTTCATCCACCAATTAAAATCTATGTATGATAGTCTGTATTGTCCTTGATTCGAGACTCGAATAGCGAGCTTCGAAGTATTTATTTCAATGTCTGCAATCAGCGCTCCCTGGAGCATATAGTTCAGTCTTTTCTTGTGGCTTTATTATTTTATATCTGAGTACCCAATCGGATGGTAGAGTATATTTTGGTCAATTCTTATTGGCTAAGCTATAGTATAAGTATTCGTGTTCCGCTAATGCCGATGTTAACTGTTTTCGGCGGCATCTCGTAGCTAAGTAACCGGCTGTCTCAAAAGAGCACACAATTATTTCTTGTAAAATTATAACTTGTTCATGGTTTTAGACCTTATTATTTACTAATATCAATTTACCCTTTTTTAGTGGGTTAAGGGGGGGTTCACCCTGATTTTTTTGTGAAACTTGGTTTCGAGATAGCAGTTGACCAACAAACTAGGACCAATGACCGAACTTTTGAGGGGGTCCCGGACCCCAGCCGCCAAACGGTGCCCGCGGGGCAGCCACGCCCATATTTGGTCCAAATTAGGCCCAATTTAGCCAAATACCCTGAACATGCCCAAAACCCAGATTCTTCTTGTAGCTAGTGGTCCCCTAAACTTGTATATGAATTTTCATCAAAATTGGACAAAAAATGACTGAGTTATGAGCCAAAAACCATATGACCATATTTGGGCATACGCACCAAATTTGATCGATTTTGGCCCATAAATTGGTCAAATATCAATATTTTTGAATGAAACCAACTTTATATGGAAGGTAAGCCTATACTACACATTCTCTATGATTATCAGCTCAGTATCTACCTAACTGTGGATTCTGTGTTCAAATAATCGCAAAAAATGAATAAAATCGCCCATATCTCAGTTCGCGATATTTGCGAAACTGATTTCGCTCAAAACAATAGAACTCAATAGGGTTTCAATATTTTTAAACATGAAATTTTCAAAATCAACGTAGAATCGCATTTCGACCTTAAGTTTTGTATTGGAATTTTGAGTTAGGCCAAATTCTGAAAAATACATTGCAAATTTTGGAATTTGGCCGCCAAATTTTTTAAAGGCCAAACTATGGTTTTTGGCTCATAACTCAGTCATTTTTTGTCCAATCTTGATGAAAATTCATGTACGAGTTCAGGGGACCACTAGCTACAAAAAGAGCACCTAAAATCTGGGGTTTGGGCATGTTCAGGGTATTTGGCTAAATTGGGCCTAATTTGGACCAAATATGGGCGTGGCTGCCCCGCAGGCACCGTTTGGCGGCTGGGGTCCGGGACCCCCTCAAAAGTTCGGTCATTGGTCCTAGTTTGTTGGTCTCGAAACCAAGTTTCACAAAAAATTAGGGTGAACCCGCCCCCCCCCCCCCCCCTTAAGAGTACATAGGTCGGGATAATTTAAACAGTTTCTCTATTTGATCTCTGGAAATAGAATGTTTGATGACCATGCAGGTGCTAAAAAAAGGCTGATCCTTAAAGAAAACAATAACATAATATGAATCAATGCAAGAAGGACATAAATGCAAGAAGGACATAAATGTCCAGACAATAAATTTTACAATGACTAAATTATAGACCAAGGTGCTACCAATAAGCTACTGGGAGTGGTCATTTTGTCTCGGTCCACGCAGCCGCAAAAGCCTAGTAAACTCTATTCATGGCCCTAAATACACGTCTTGGCCGCAAATTTATCCGTAGTCTGTCCTAAAACTTGAATTACAACTGCAACTTGTATCCTTCCTACGTATTACTCCACCTTACAAATGCACTGTTAATCAAGATCAATACTCCATTTAGCTTTATATTATTTTGTAGCATTATTCTTACTAGTCATATTCAAGGTACGATAATATGAGGCTACTCGTTCTGGTAGGGCTGCTGACTTTCACTCTGAGTTCTGAGCTTGGTAATGAAGCACCCGAGATACTTCAACTACCTCGAAACTACCTCTCAATACTCAACCTCACGGCTTGGGAAAGAATCACACAATCGACCCACTTCCTACTAACGACACCCTCACTAGCTGAAAAGAAATTCGAGCACACAATCTGTAACGACTATGTCTTCGGGGAAATAAGCTCCATAATGCCGGTACGGGATAAATACAAAGTCTACAGATTCTCTGATATTGATGAATTTAAGAAGGCAAGGGAGGGGGAATCCTTTTCAGGATACAAACTTTGCTACTACGGTACCTTTAATTTCTCGGGGTTACCGAGATCGGGTTGCGTACTCTCAGAAAGCCAGGTGTGCAACAACTACTCATCCTGCCTCACTGATGAGTGTAACTGTGGATATGAGACTTTCCTTTGCGCTGACGGTGATGGTTGCATATCTTTGGACCAGGTCTGCGATGGAAGGGCAAATTGTAAGGACTACAGTGACGAGTGTGTTTGTCAAGATTTTCTAACTTGCAAAAAGGTGCAAAGTTTCAATCAGTCACAAGCACAATGCTTCGTACAGCCGAACTGCTTAGAGGCAAACTATGTCTATGCCGCAGAGAAGTTCTACGATGATTTAAAAGCTTGGGAAGATGCAGATGGTCATGGTGTTGGAGTGATATCATTAGATCCCAGAAAAGTTAAGCAATGCATAATGAATAAAACATTGATCAGCTCTCACTGCAAAAGAATAATTTTGCATCACACAGGAATTAACTACCCAACATACAAGTGCAAAATCCAGTCGAAAGATAACATCCAAAGTGTGATCCACAATGACGGACGGAGAAAGATGGTATTCTGTGACGGTATTCAGCACTGTGAGAACGGTATTGATGAGCAGGACTGTCCAGACACGTTCTACTGCAAGTCAGACAACAAGCCCATTCCAATAAACATGACATGTAACTCAGTTTCAGATTGCTCGGATTCCTCTGATGAATGCAACAACTGTACCACTTCCTCCTTCCTCTCCTCCCAAGATAATTTGATAAGTGGCAGAGTGCTTCCTTACGTGGTTGCAATTCAGATGGCTTGCATACTGGTCCTCAATAATTATGCAATCTACTATCATCTGACTACATATGACTCTTCTGCAAAGGCGGCATTCAAGGTTGACAAGATTCAGTGCATAGTGCTTGGTGGATATGACCTATTGATCGCCATCTACCTAGCGACAGTTGTAGGAGCCAACTTTGTCTACGATGGGAAGTACTGTCTATTCGATGTGTACTGGAGATCCTCCGTAGTCTGCAGATTTGCGGGGACAATCCTCTTTGCAGCTAGTCAAGGTGCACTACAGGTAGCTGTAGCAATGAGTGTCTGCCGGTGTTTTACCTGTCTTAATGGAATGTCCGGCAGGGAGATCACCATGTCCGGGTTCATGGCGGTCTTTCCCTTGGTTAACTGTGTCAATATTGCCAGAGCTTTTGCACCGTTTTTTGCAGCAACGACCGTGTTTTCAGACTGGGCTGACATATTCATTCATGAACATTTGTTTGCTAGGAACCCTCTCATTAATAGAGGTAAGAAATTAGATTTAGCGAGGGTGGTGACTGCTTACAAGCGCATTTCTTTCAATGTAACTTCCTCCATGTCCACCAAGAAACTTTTAGAGGAACTGAGCAGTATGACGTCCAACGGCGTACTGTTTGCTCCAGACAGGATTACATCCATTGGGTTTTACGGAAAATCTTCCATGTGCTACCCTGACTTATTCACAAACGAACGAGTTATGCTGGGCTACAAAATTTTCTACATAGTAGAAAGCTGCCTGTATTTGCTAATCATCATGACATGCTACATTCTGATCTCTCATCAGTTTATAAAGTCTCGAGCACAAACACGACCAACCAACAGAGCGAAGAATGAGTCTAATGGTCAGGTTTTCTTTCTATCTCTGAAGATCTCCCTGGTGATCGGGTCCCAGCTGTTATGTTGGATCCCTGTTAATGTTGCAATCATTGGCAGCTTCTTCGACTGGTCCATTCCATTCTTGGATACAGACACTTTGATTGGAATTGTTGTCCCGATCAATTCGTTCATGAACCCCTTAATACATTGCAAGCCGATATTCGACTGGGTGTCGGGGAAGATCGTAATACTCAAACGTGACGCAGTTTCTTGGATCAGCTCAATAAGGAGAAATGACAACAGTGTTGTCCAGATGGAGTTGGAAGATCGTACTTATGTTTCTAAGCCTGACAAAGCCTTATGTAGTGAGTAGTGACAGCTGAAAGCACTAAGAAATTGGGATATTTACTTTTAAATTGTTTGAGATTGTTATTTTTTGTTTATTTGCTTAAGTTTATTTGCTACTTTGAATATGCTGTACTGCCTAATTTCCAAAATATATATTGTACGTTTAGAATGACTGTTTGTCTGTGCACAGTTGAACGAATGATTAATTCAGATAATCATTGATTATCTGATAAAACACTAAGTCTTGGGAGTCTTAGAGCAAAACGATCGGACACAAAAAATGATAAATTTTGCTGTTGGGTGAGCCGATGAGGCATAACGGTTATATTTTAGTTATTTTAATAGATATTATAATTAATGTCAGTACATGTATACATTGTATATGGCCATTTTAAGTTCGAGTTTAATTAAAATTCTAAATCGAATTACTTCAATACTCTAGCGCAGAAATAGCATATTATCTAAGACCAAGAGTAAACGATGCAGTGAGACAACAAGTTTGTCGTAACTACATATATTTCAAATCTATCATCATATAATACAACATACGACAATTACTGCGGGTGTGTACATGGAAATTCTGTCGACATATTAATGCTAAACAGTAAACTGAGCAGCCGAAGTAAGAAGAGCAACTCCACTCCAAATCTTTGCTTCACAGTTACCACCCCAGTTTATAGGCCGATTTAACCACGATTCCATGTCATATAGAATTCCATGTAATATATAATTAATTCACCACCATCGGCTACGACTAAACCCCAGAATCTCATTAAAACGGACGACGGAATCGTAAAAGGAATTAAACACCAGTGATCAGACAAGGAATCAGCAAGGCTAATGTTAAAAAGGTCTACAGTATAAAAACGGACCGGGTAGACTGCCACAGTAGACCCTCCAGACTTTACTAAATAGAATAATTCACAAGATAGACGCGGAACGGGGTCAGAGTAAAGCTACCAGACGGGGTGAAACGGAAGACAAGGAATACCAGACGTACCCCGTGGTTAATACCAGGTTAATACCAGGTTAATACCAGGTTAATACCAGACGTACCCCGTGGTAATTCTACGGTAGACGTTATGTTAGCCTGGTATGTGAATGGTATGTGAAGTGTGGGGTGGTGCCAGGTGCAGCCAGGGACGTATTTTATGTTTGGGAAATTCCAACAATATATAAGAAATTTCCCCTTCATGTTTGTAAGATTTAATGTCAGACTGGGTACTTACTTCATCGTCTTGCCAAGGGAGTTTTCTGAACTGTCGGAGTATTTTCTCGATGTTATTCTTGTTGAGGTCTTTGATCAAAAGTTTCCTTATGTACTCGTGAAGTGGAGGTCTAACTTTCTGAAAAGGAACAACTTTAATTTCACTGAGTTTTACTCTTATTATGATCATCTTTCATGGCACAAATCTCATCTAATCAAGAGCTCCGTTACATAAGAACATACATAATAACAACAACTGAGAACAACACTAACTAGTAACTAATTGTTAATCTTGATTCAATATTCATTAAGCTAGCTTCCAGTACCTTAACATAAGCCACACGATCAGGTGGGTTACAATAATAGTACGCATTCTCAACCATAGTAATCTGCCTTGTATCCAAGTTGTGAACAGCTTTCTTCCGCATCATTTGGTCCTTGGAGAGGTGCGAGGTTAGATTTGAGTTATCTGTTTATAAATTGTGGAAATTTCAGTTACTTTCACGTGTAGCTGTTATTTAATATTGATACATATACTGATTCTTCAGAAGGACGGCAGTTTCTTACAAGAAGATGGTTAGTTTTCAGATGAGTTTCCGGAGATCTGAAGAGGTATCTTCCGCAACATTCCACCAGACTGCAGGCTATCTCAATGTTGTGATGTGTGAACTGCTCTGAAATGAGGCATCCTTATAATTTCCAAAAACAATATAATACCAACGATTTGTGATCTTAAAACATGATTCCTTCTTTCTTAGTATGGTGCCACCAATTAAACCATATGATATTATGTTCGAACTTTTCGGGTCAATGACGAAATATCGCAAATTAACGGAATAAATGATCCCCCATATTTGGGCTAAGTTAATTAAACATCTGAGCCGGAATATGGAATATTATAATGTGTTCAGAATAACATTTTATATTCAAGGTGTCCAAATTCGTCGTGAGATCAAAGTAAAACATATGTGCATTAATATAACGTATTCATCATTGATTATGCTCTGTAAACTGCATATAGCACAATTTCCTTAGAGTGTTGTTCAAATCATGAGTAAACAGGACAATTTTCAACTAAATAGTAGTAAACTGAATTAAATTATCAATATTTTTATTGTTTAACAGATTTCCACAATTACAGAACGCTATCAGTGCAGTTTATGATTAGTTTCCCAAACTCATGAAACGTTTAAGCGTCATCTTCATATCGTCGTTGGAAATCTCTTTGAGGTTCATTATGCTTTGAAACATCGTGGTCGCAGCTATTTTAAAATTGTCTTTTATTTTAGAAGAGAAGCCTGGACGGCCCACGAGAGGATACGATTGATACGATACCCGTACGATGTCTTGTCGCCCTGGATAGTTACGGTTCGCTTTAAACTTGGAAGTAATACCACCAAAGTCCAGATTTTCTAATACGTATCTTGTTTTGGTATCCAATTTCTCTATTTTCATAAGATGTGCGGTTAATTTTTCTACAATGACGGTTGAACACTCTTTTTTGATTTCTTTGATTGTGAGATTCCTGCACCGGCGGCTCTGCTTCGACCCCGGCAAGACTCGTTCGCATTTATTAGCAACACGAATAAAGAAGTCAAGTTGATCCACATGTAGGCTTCCCAAGTCTTCTAGCACATTCCCCATACAGGAAACATCATTATTGCATAAATTACTGGATTTCCATTGAACTAGAGCGTTCAAGTATTGTTTGTCTTCATCAAACGGTTTGGCTGCGATGGCCTCCTCCAGCAGGAATCTGTCGTCCTCTGTAGGAATGCCATTATTGCCGATGTTGGGGACCGCATTCATCAAACAGTTGAAGTACTCGAAGCACTTTAGTTTCATCCAAGTTACTTGAAACGTGTATGACATTCTGCTGACTTGTCTAAAGGAGCCCCTGTCTAGCATTGATAAGTCAACTGTGTATAAACTCCTCAAAAATCCTCGACACACGATCGGATCGAACCCATCCATTTCTATGATTTTTAACTTTTGCTTCTCGATTATTTCTTCAAGATAGGGGCTGTTAATAGACAGAATTACGGAATTGACTTTGATCTTCTCACCATCTCTCAAGAGGACCTCAATGTTCGACTGGTACTTTGAGTTGAAATACTTCACACCGAAGTTGAAAGGAACCGATGTTGTATTGTCTGCCATGTGCGATCTGTTTCTAACAAATCAAACAGTAAGTAAATAAAGTAGTCTATAACATACAGAAAAATGGTGGCATTTGTAAAGAAAGATTTTGTCAGTCAAACTAAATCATTTGATTTAAGCTGTGTTTATGATCTGTCTTGTCGTCGGAGAAGACGGAGATCACGTTTCCCGTCCTTAACTTTTATAAATCATTCATTGTTTTGGAACTTGATAAACTGAAAGACCTTATAGTTCCCCAACTGGGAAATCTCGCTAACGAAGAACTTAGAAAGGTGCAGAATACATTGGAGAACCTTCTCCAATATACCAACACGCTACTTGATTCTGCACCCTCTCCAGTACCCAAAATACAGGAATCATCGAGTCCATCATCCTCTTCCCCACCTTCTCCATCTCCGCTGCTCCTTCACTATAATCTTCGACATGACCCCCTTAGTGAGCCTCTGGTTGAGGAAGTCCTTGGCCACGTCAAGAATATCAATTACAGCAGGTCTGGAACAAATTTAAGCCCAGATACCTTCCTGTACGGCAGCCAACGATACGCATACAATCGAAGATCTGCTGCCCTCTCACCAGTCTCTATCCAACCCAACACCATCATGGATAAACTGCTGAAGACTGTTAACTTAACACTAGGAACAGAGTATAACTCCATGTTAGTTAACAAGTACAGCTCATATCTGTGTTGCCTTCCTCCCCACAAGGATGATGAAGCAGGCCTCGATTCAGGTGCACCAATATCAACACTCTCGATTGGTGCAACTCGGAAAATGAACATTTCCCTTGACAAAAAGAAATCCGTCAAGTACCTTACTCTTACTCCCGGGAGCATATTCACGATGTTGCCTGGTTTCCAGCAATCTTTTTACCATGAAATACTTGCTGGAGACAAAGATGTACAGAAAGAAAGGGGAGTCCGTTACAGTGTCACCTTCCGACGTCTGCTCCCACCTAAAGAAGCCCCTCCTGCTATCCATTCTCCTCCCCCATCCTCCTCCCCCATCCTCCTCCCCTCCTCTGCAGAACCGAAAACCTCCCCTGCAACCAGCACCTCCAAAGATGCCACATACCCTGATACCTTTGTGTTTGGCAGCTCCCTCGTCAAGAGCTTGAAAACTGAAACACTTTCCAGGCGTGGAAAAATTTTTAAAGTTATCTCCCGGTCTGGAGCACACGCTTGTGACATTTATAACGAAGTTGAAAAGTGTGCCAAGCAATTTAATACATCTAATGTTTCCACTGTGTTCCTTCAAGTCGGGGGAAATGATGTTGAAAATTTGATTGTAGACTCTGACATAAAACGCATATTTGAAGACATTAATGACCTTATAATCCTAACAAAACAGGTATTTCCTGCAGCTAAGATTAATTTCTTTTCACTTGTCCCTAGGAAGGCAAGTTATCTTACACATATTAGAAATATGCATAAGTTTAATGACCTATTAAGTGAGATGTGTAAGAAAGAAAGTATAAGATTTGTTGACTTTTTCTCTTTTTTCCTAAAGAAGACACCTACTATGTGGCTTTTAGATTTTAATATGTTTAACAGGGATGGTATCCATCTTAATCCTGTTGGAACCAGTGTGTTAGCTAAAGTTCTTATTGGCGTTGCTAACCAACCTAGGTAGTCATCTTGTAACATGTTCAACTTATAGAATTCAGAGAACTCTTTCATTTTTAACGAACATTATAGCTTAACAATGCTCTCATATTTGTTCCCATATTTATTAATTGACAATATTTTAATTCATTAACTTCTTGCTTCTTTAACAGAGTATAATTCAGTACATATTTTCCAGTCTCCATTTAACTTTGAGTTTTAAACTAATTTATGGGAGTCACGTTTTTACAACACAGAACAGTGATTGGTCTATACTCTCCCAAAGTCAAATGCAATGCTAAATTAAATATAGATTCAATTACCACTATAGAGAAAAGTGCTATTTTAAAGATGATTTATGGAGTAGTGATTGTTGTATATGTGTATATGATCTGTCTGTTATTGGCGGGGGCCATTGAAACAGCAAGTGAATACTCAGACCAAACATTTCGTATGCATCGCTCGTACAAGATCGGACTACACCTGACCAATGACTGGGACTGCCTTATGAACAGTGCAAATCTTGTAGTCCTAATGATCATCTATTCAAAGAAACAAAATGGAATAGCCCTATGGATAGTGAAGTATGGTTGTCCCAGACGTTACTCTTCCGCTAAGTGTAGTGGACATCAGTTCCTAAGTAACATGTTCACCATCTGGACGACCATTCTGAACTTAGTTTTGCTTGTTATCTGTAATACAAGCATACTTAACCCAGGTCCAGTTGATAACAATAACCTCAGTCATCTAAAGGTAATGTACCAAAATTTGAGAGGGCTTGTCCCCTTTAGTGGCCTAGCATCTAAAAACATGCCGCTTGATGCTGGTAAACTACTAGAGCTCCAATCTAAGATCTATGAAGACAAGCCTGATGTTATTGTTCTGACTGAGACTTGGCTTTCAAAAGAGCACCTGGAAAATGAGATCCTCCCTGATAGCATCTACAAGATATATCGGAAGGATAGATCCAAAAGATCCCACCCCCCGGATCCTGATAACCCAATTAAGTTTCGAAGGAAGGGGGCGGAGTCCTTATTGCAGTCAAGACTGGCATCAGTATTGAAAATGACAAGATTGATGTCAGCTCTAGGGCTGAAATGATCTCAGTCAGCCTAAAATCAAACAACTCATGCTACTGCATAACTGCCTGCTACAGAGTTGGCACCCTTGGTGAAAATAATTTTAATGAAATTGAGAAACACCTCAGAAATGTGGTAGGACGGAGAAAGTTTAAGGCCCACTTTGTAGTTGGGGACTTCAATCTACCTGAAGTTAACTGGTCAGACGGTGTGTCCCCCACACTTCTTGGTGGCCGTTTTATAGATCTGTTTAATGACCTAGGCTTAACACAAATGATAAACCAACCCACTCATGATAAAGGGAAGGTCCTCGATCTTCTCTTCTGTAATATGATAAGTGTTGTTGAAAATTTGGCGGTCCTGGGGAAAAATGAGATATGCTCCTCAGATCACTTTGGAATAACTTTTAGTGCTAAAATGAAGTTTAGAAAGAAGGTCACCAAACGAAAAATCTTAAATTACAAAAAAGCAGACTGGATCGGCCTGAACAATGATCTGAAATCAGTTAGATGGGATGATCACCTTAACTGTGATGCAGAAACAGGATGGTTCCGTTTTAAGAAAATCCTGTTCCATCACATACACAACCGAATCCCAACTATTACGATATCAGATAAGGATCAGCCACCCTGGTTTGACTCTGACACTTATCAGCTGTGTCTCAAAAAAGAAAAACTACGAGTCAAATCTAAAAGATCATGCCTAGCTGAGGACTATGAAAAGTTCTCACAATGTAGAAAAGATTTTCAAAATTTGGTCGACCAAAAAATGATATCAAATTTGAATGATGATGATGATCCAGCTCTTATATCAAAGAAATTCTGGAAACATGTCAAATCGACATCAAAATCTACTCGCATACCAGGAACAGTAAACTATAACGGCAGATTTAGAAACAATCACTTAGACCAAGCTGAAATGTTCAATGAATATTTTGCTGCACAGTTTTCCGAAGCGAGTAATTATGATGTTGATATTGATTATAGTAATGACTCAGTAAACGACATTGAGTTCAGTACCAGCAGAATCCGAAAAATTCTAAAAGATGTCAATGTTAATAAAGCTGCTGGTCCAGATGGTATCCATGGCAAAATTTTAAAGAACTGTAGAGATAGTATTGCATATCCACTCTCGAGCCTTTTTAAAATCTCATATAACATAGGTCAGATACCATCTGAGTGGAAATTGGCTAACGTAGTACCTGTGCATAAGAAAGGCCCCAAAACTCTAGTTGAAAATTATCGGCCAATCTCTCTCACCAGCCTTGTAATGAAAATTTTTGAAAAAATTGTGAGAGATGAACTGTTGGCAAAATGCCAGCATAAAATACATGACAACCAACATGGTTTTCTTCCTCAGAGGTCTTGTACTACACAAATGGTCGGGTATATAGACTGTCTCTCTCTGTCTATCAACGATAATGTCAGAACTGATGTGGTATACTTTGACTTTGCCAAGGCCTTTGACTCAGTTAACCATGATGTCATCCTAAAGAAATTAAAATCGGAATTTGAAATTAATGGTACACTGTTGAAGTTCATTATGAACTATCTTAAAGACCGCAAACAGTGTGTTATAATTGGGGGATCCCACTCAGAACTTAAGAATGTTGAATCTGGGGTTCCCCAAGGCTCCATTTTAGGACCTCTGTTCTTTGTACTCTTTATTAACGACATGTCAGAATGCGTAAGTGAAGGTACAAAGATAGCCCTATACGCTGATGACACCAAAATATGGCGTAAAATCACGGGCTGGAGAGACCATGAGATCCTACAAGCAGACATAGACGCCCTGCATTGCTGGGCAGTAAGAAACAAAATGAAGTTTCACCCAAATAAATGCAAGGTGCTCTCTATATCTAGCAAAATGAGTGAAAAGGGAATTTTGAGTTTTTTCCCCTTCCAGCTCTTTGTCTATACCCTAGATGGAACGGCACTAGACTTCGTCCAGAGTGAAAAAGACCTTGGGGTCTTTGTTAGAACTGACCTTAAGTGGGAGGAGAACATAGTCAACCTTTGTACGAAAGCTAGTTCTCGTCTAGGTCTAATGAAAAGAACTCTACGGTTTATTAACGACCGTAAACAAAAACGGGCATTCTATCTAGCGCTGGTTAGGAGCCTTTTCGAAAATTGCAGTGTTGTCTGGAGACCAACAAGTGTTGTCTTGAATAACAAAGTTGAAAACATTCAGCGCAGAGCAGTTAAGTGGATCCTTGGCGAACAGGATCATCACTATAATGACTTAGAATACTTGGCTCGATTAAGAGAGCTAGACATGTTGCCAATGGAGCTGAAGTTTGAATACACAGACTTACTATTATTCCATCAGATATACAATGATCAATCTGTTCTGAAGCTCCCACCTTATTTAACCCCGATAACAACCAGTGAACAGGGTAGGTTGCGTTCAAACATAAGGCAACCCTCGAGATATAATGAAGTTGATACATCTCAAATGCCTGATATCAACCAGAGGCGACAGAACAGACACGACCACCTTTCCCTGAAGTGTACTGTGGAAGCAAAAGCTCACTCCTTTAAGAGAAGCTTCTTCTTCAGAACACACAGTGTCTGGAATGACCTACCAACTGACCTTAAAGAGATAAGTGATGCCGGAACTTTTAAGGCAAACCTGGCAAAACACTTTTGGGACAAATTGACAGACCCTGACTAAGTTAATGAGTGCAAATGATATTTATATGTGGGCCCCCGCCACTGATAGATCGGTCACGATACTGAATATAACAACTATAATATAAAAAGAAATCTATCACAATGCTGGCAAGCATAACCGTTGCCCTTATATTCACAACACTATGTACCCCCTATACTATTATATCCCCTTTATTGTTTTCCAGGCATTAAGACTCATCGAAAGTAGTTCAGCAGGTATATTTAAGTTCAAAACATTCTAATTCGATGTTAAAGATGACAGGAATAAGAAATAGTTATGTGGAGGTTTTTAAGAAATTTGCGCAAAATACGCGCCAGCATGTTATACGAAATTAGGTAAAAAACCCAAAATCGCCATATTCAGGTGCCTTAAAAACCATGTTAAAATCGAGTTAGAGATCTGAAACTTTGCAGAGCGTCTAGACCTTGTCCAAATCGACTGTAAAAAAAATTTCATGTTGCAGGAGTATCGGGAAGTGGGTTTTCTGGAACCCCTGTTTTACAACAGATTGTCGTGAAGCTATATATGTATATATATAAGTATATATGTATAGACGCTTTTGCAGTAAATTGTAGCCTACATTTAAGTGTCCGTAGATTCAAAAGTATAAAAGATACAGTCATTTCGAACCACAGGTTTTAAAGATAATTGTTTATACTTTAGTTTACATTATATCGAAAAATAATTTATCGTCATCATCATCACTTGATGACGTCATCAATTTAAGTGTTTTTAAAACTTGATTTTTGACAAAATAACAACTTTTCAAATCGATTTTAAAGCATTAAGGAGTAATTTTATTCAAAATCTGAGGACATTTTCATCTCAGATAATTGTTCAAGCATTCTGAAAATCTACCGGAAAGTTTTCCTACCTTGCTCCTTCATAAAGATATTCGCTATTGAAGTTTGTGCTTTTTTGAAGAATAATTTTATAAAAACACAAAAGTTGTGAATTAGTATTCTCTGGTGTTGGGCCATCCCTTGGGTTGTGGAGCTCAATTTTGCTTCCTAAAGGTCTAAATTGTGTTATAGGCTAGTTTTAAAGTTGAAAATCGAAAAGTTGCACACGTGGGGACACGCCCAAATTCATTTAAAATAGCTAAAATCACTAAAAATTGTTATTTTCACGATTTTTACCAACTTTGGAGTCCCGTTGTGATCCAAGTTCTTTTTGAAATCTTCTGAAACTTTTCATGCTTATCAAACTATATATTAAATAACACTATGCAAAAATTTATGGTGATTCAATATTTTATGCGCACGCAACGTCCGCTCAAAGTTTGCACGTGCGAAAGGTGAGAATTTTGCTCATTCGTGATTTCGAATATATTCTGCTTTCCCACGATATTAAAATGGCATTATATATGAATTTAATGCCAACTTGAATGAGTAAAAAGTGCTATATTCAGTCTGTTATTGACAGATATGCCTACCTAAACACAAGGAAACGTTTTCAAAGGTAAAATTTCGAAATCGTTGAAATTACCTCCTTATTAAGTTTCGACTGTGTAAATTATCCTGACATTATAGTCAAAAAGAGATGATATTTGACCAAAACCCATAATCATGGGTAGAGTGAACCGCTGCCAGTGTCTCTCTTTTCCAAACAAAAGAAAATGATATTAATTTGAGGAACCGTCCGCAAATGCAAATTGATACCGAGAATGAAATCGGTCGCTCGCTTTTCCCATTCATTCACGGCTTACGTATTGTAATAAAGCTTATTGAATGGGAAAAGCGAGCGACCGATTTCATTCTCGGTATCAATTTGCATTTGCGGACGGTTCCTCAAATTAATATCATTTTCTTTTGTTTGGAAAAGAGAGACACTGGCAGCGGTTCACTCTACCCATGATTATGGGTTTTGGTCAAATTAAATAATATTAAATAACATTTACGTTCTGTCACCATGATTTGACCCTGGTGCAGTCCTCAGTTAATATACTTAACTGGATTACGCAAACTTTATATCCGACTGTAATCTTGCTTTTAATCGCTGTGTGATGATACGCGCGCAATTTTTGGCGCAATATGAGTCAGGTCATGGATACATTATGTATTTATTTTGATAATTCTAAATTTGCGTGTTTTAGATACATTTGTGTGTTTAGATGGAGGTGGTGTTAGTGAGTCTGGGAGTAGAACTATTACTTGTAATACGTATACCCCCAGAACTTGTACCACTTAACCATGCTTTTAGTATTTATACAATATGGACTACAACTTTTACCCTACTAATGCCTCATGATAATAATGTCGTATATTTTTAATTCTCTTTGCTGTATTGTATAATGTACTATTTGTAAAAGTTTCAAATCAATCAAATTTCACTGTCTGATCAATTCAGCAGGATAAATGATGATGTATGAACTGTTATTAATATCTGATTCATGATGATATCAAATGCTATGGCCCTAACAAGGAACTCAATTTCAGTAGACTATGTATCACATTAAATTGGGTGAACTAAATACGATGGTAGTTACCTAGCAAAACTCGTAGGCACCAGAGAGCATCCGAATTCTCGCACATCTCAAATTTGCAGAGTTCCCCAATAAATCGGATATTCTTCACTTTTGTCTCAAGGTTATTCTGATCTTTCTTCCTTAACTGAGAATTTGGGATTTACGAATTGTTTACTCAGTTAGTTTTTACTTTAATTCTATCATTACACGAAGTGAAAGTGCTTCATGAACAACATTGCGGAACATGGCATTCAATTAATTGCGGAATTGATCAGACTTGAAAGTTGAAACAAGCTTTGTCTGAATTCCTCAAAAAATGTGAAAATAATATACGTGCGCGCGGCGCGAAAGAAAACTTCAAAATCGACAAAAGAGCATTTGTGTATAGCAGCGTCACCGCGCGTTCCACAAAAATCTATAGTAGACCCTTTAGCCTTCCTCGTGCCACGTTAAGATTAAGTCTATGTTCTCAAAACTGGGTTTTAAAGAAATATGGTTAGATAAACTGTTCAATATTATCTTACATGATAGATAAACTCTTTCTTCAGAAGGGTGAACAAGTCCGTTGGGATATCAGGTAAGATAGGGGACAGAGTTCTGACTAGGCGGCCGTGGAAAGGCAACAGATCTAACCTGATGAATTAAAATTAAAGACTAGGACGAGTGAAATATGTTGTGTTGTTCACTGTGAACAGCTCACAAGCGGGTAGTAGAACACAATATTTCTTCTTAGGGGTCGTTCACATATTACGCAGTCACTTTTTGGAACATTTTTCCCCCCCCCCCCCCCCGCTCCGTAATCAGTTTTACACATAGCTATTGTGTCAAAATTACATTAACGTAATCATTTGGAAACCCCCCCCCCCCCTCCTCAGCTGATTACGTAATGTGTGAACGACCCCTTAGCAAAAGAGCGTGGAAGTGTCAATTCTAAAAAACCTGTTTCTTGATACACCGTACAGTGCCCTCACTAGCTTCTTTCGGTTACTTTTGGTGTTCAACTTCAAACAGAACTCTTGTGCAACCTAAGATACAATAATAGATAATACAAAAGGTCACTAACATTGGATTCTCATTCCTAAAATGTCTCGTCCTAAAACTGTACAGAATTCTTAACAGCCCAATAATCACCTCGTTAACAAGATCACGGTTGCTAATATTGGAGAGTTTGGCAATGAAACTCTCCATCATAGCCTTATTACTGATAGTAATAGTGCTGGTTCCAAACCCATCAGGGTCCTCTTTGTTGTTGGCGTTTTGTGTCGTCTCCGTTACAACAATCTCCTCTTCCTCCTCATCTGAGATAATTACTTAAACCATGCAATGATGAAATAACACCAGATAAGGTAAATGAAGAAGGACAATTGGCAAGCAACTACTGATTCAATATTATACTGAAGCCACATACCATCATCATCTTCCTCCTCGATATTCAGTTTCTTGAACTCTTCCTCCAAAACCTCTTCAGTTATTTCTTCCTCCTTCTCTTCTTCCTTATCCTTATCCTTATCCTTATCCTTCTCTTCCTCTTCCTTTTTCTTAGATTCTTCCTCTTCTTTGGCTTTTTGATCAGCCTTCGCTTTATCCTCTGGGAACAACGTTTTATAGCGCTTTATAGGGTTAATATTATATAGAGCTACAAAAATCCTTTATAAGAAAAATTTCTATGTTTGAAAACTTACTTTTGTGAAGTACTTTTGTGAAGTTACTTTTGTAAAACTTACTTTTGTAAAGTATTTGAGGTACAATTCCAGTCAGGTCCAGAATATCTCGGTAAAATGTTTTCTGGTCCTCATCCTCCCACAAACTTATGTCACCCAACTGATGAAAAAATCGGTCTTACAAGAGGACAAAATAAAACAAATTTTAATAAAACAAGCTTTAAATTTTACAGCCAGCCAATACATAGAGATATCATAAATATTCATATTGAAAGTTAGCTCCAACTTTTAAACTTGAATTATGGTTTAGAACAACTTGGATAGAAGCAGCAATATACAACATAACAAACAGTTTTACAAACATCTCAAAAATGTAGTTAAAATCTAGAATTTATCACAAGACATTCCAACAACACTAACATCAGAGTTAGCGTTAGCAGGAGAGTTACAGTCCATTTCATCGTCATCCAGTGCTTGCAAGTTGGGCAGGTCGGGTATGATAATGTCGAGCAGTTCCGCGAGTGTGGTGGCGTTCATCAGGAGTTTGCTGTGCTGAGCAGCTAGCTTCTCTGATAGCTCTATCTTCTCCGCAGAAATTTCACCTGAAGAGTGGAGGGTATTAGACACGGCGACACGCCAATATCATCAAACTTTAGTCAATGCTTCAAGTTTTAGTTTTTCAAGCCAGCGAATCCCACAAAATGGTTGAAACATCAACAATAACGAGTGAAATATCTAGAAAAACCAAAAAACAACATCACAGTGAATTAGGTTGAAAGTCTCACCTTTCATTAGCAGAGTTTTCTTGTTGTGCTTGAGGCACTTCATGAGCTTGTTGTGGAGTCTAACCAGAGATAATATCACAGCAGAGCTGTACTCTTTCAGGAGATCAGCAAATATCTGCTGCTTATCTTTTGACAGTATCTTTATGGCAGGAACTGTGATGTTATGTTGCTCTATCAGCTGCCTGAGAGGAGAAAGGAATGTGAAAATGATTATCGGTGTAAGTGGAATGTGAAAATGATTATCGGTGGAGTGGGACACGGTATTATCACGTCGTTAGTTGTGGAAGAGGGTCACGTGGGGGGGGGGGGGGGGTCACGTGGTTTAAGATTCCCGTAGACCATAAACCAACCTGTTTTTGGTAGACTGGACTCCCAGAATGTCTACTCCGCAGTGTTTAACAAAGGACACCATCGCCGGTAAAAACTCCAACTTGTCCTGAAAATATTTATAATTAAGTCTAATAAAAACGCATATGTAACCAAGTGTTTCATTGAACCGAGATTAGAACAGACCTTTATTAAGCCCTCAACACTTTACTTACTTACTTTGTTTAATTAAAAAAGTACGGTAAAAATAAAACATAATTTATTATATTATAACAAGATTTAATGTTGTTATACACTACCACGATTAATATTCTAAACATCAAGGCTACAAAACGATTTACTAGGATTTAACAAATTACCCGTTAATTGACATTAACGAACCTTATCGTTCTCGACGATCTTGCAGAGTGTGTTATGAAGAAGAGTGAAGCCCTCCTTCTGATCGGTGATGATCCCCAGAACTAACATTTGTCCAAGTAAACGCAGCTCTATACGAACTCTTGATACCTGGCACAATCGGGTAATTAATTAATTAGCTAATTAATTAATTATCTATATTTAACAGAACTTAATTCAACCAAGCATATCCGTTGCTTATTACATTAAAAATTATTTAAAATGCGACCATTACAATAATTTCTATACTTCTATAAGAAAGATTCCCAAGACAGTCGCGGGTTAGACGTGGGAAATAATTATAAAATCGCGCTGTAATACCCTATTAAAATTAGGTAATACCTTAAAATTGAGGTAATTTAAACTTTAAAGTATTACCTTATCATCTTTGTGGAGGTTGTTGAGAGCATGTTGCAGAGTTTTCAGGAGGAGTAGAGAGAAGTCACTGTACCTTCTGTGGAGAAGCGAGCAGAGGTGTATGGCACAGTTCATGTCTTGCATCTGATAGAGAGGAGAGAATGGTAAGGAATGCGATTATCCTCAAAATTGAAGAATATACGATCATTCTATAAAAAATGTACATCCGAATAAAAACAGCTGGTATATAATACAATACTCTAATTTCAGCTAATACAGAATAATCTGAATTGTAATCTAATACTCAATTCAAATTTATCTAACCGTCATTATAAAACTAACCTTCAACTTAGCTGAGCAGATAGCATTGACCACCTCCTCGATATACTTGGTGAGATTAAGCGAGTTCAGATCAGATACCAACTTGTCTCTGCTCTGTTCGGTAAGCGAGCTGAGTTTCTTGACAAACACACTGTTCTTCTTCACCGAGCTGTCTAGACTTCTGAAGAAGGAATCAGGCGGGTGGTGCGCTGAAAATAAAACCTAAATGTTACTTTTGCTTAATAAATTAATGTAAAAAAACATAACGAAGGTCAAAAGAACTTGCTAGTACGTGTTTCTTTCAAATAAGCTATGATCTGACCAGAAATTGCGACTCTTTCCTCATTATTATACTAAAATTACCAATACGGTATGTTTTGATTCTGTTAAAGAGCTGTATTTACCTTTAGCATCAAGGTTCATCTGACGGGAGGCAACCTTCTCCGAGTGTCTAGCCTCAGCAGCTCTCTCGAACTCTATAGCTTTAGATTCATCCTCTCTATCTCGGGCATCTTCACCGTCCTCCCAACCTAGTCAATGGTGTTGTTACACTCTTTAGAGTCGACAGCAGATTAGAAATGATTACAGAACCAGAAAGGAAGCTGAGCACAATCTTTAAAGAACGGGATTCCTGGACTATTAAATTACAAAAGTAAGTAACAGTATGATTGCGAAGTAATTAATAAAATTATCCGCGAAGTACACTGACCTGCAGGAGTATTCTCCTCGGCCTCGGCCTCGGTGGATTCCACGATTGAAGACTCCAGGGTTGATGAGTGTATAAACTGACTGGATGTGTGACTTGGTTATCTTTACTCTGAGAGCCTCTTAATTCCCTCACATGATGTTCAACTCTATAAACATTAGTTTTTAAAATTATCGGGAAATCACTTCGATGTCATCATAAGAAAATTGTAACATTGAATTGTAACGAAAGGAAATTTGTTTAATGAGGCGAAGAAAATTGGAGCATACAGATAAGACAATTATATAGTTTGTCTTAAAACAAAGATAGTAACAATTTACAAGCTGGTTATAACATTAAATCAACTGAAACATACACTTCAGCTCGGCACATTATTTAACAAATCAAAATAGCAGAAAATATACTAAACATCAAAATCTTAAAACATCTGAATTCCCAAGACTCATCAACGCACTGTGAAATTCTAATAACCACGAATACAGCAAGAAAAATCCCAATAGTTCGCTAATAAAGGACAGAAAAACTCCAAGACCCAGGTCAGTTTACAGTTCATCTCAGTTGGGTGGGCTCCCAATGACGATAGATCTAAACTAAACTGACATCAATTGACTTAAAGGATAAAAGGATAATCCTTACTTTCAGGAGTGAAAGAGGAAGAACTGAAGACAGATGTAAACCTACTTGAGTCCAACAAGAATCTGTCCTATAGAAGGATAACTAAACCGCTTATTGGTCAGAACATTCTCAATAGTGATCTCCCCAACATCCCACACCCCCGACTTGATAGGCAATATATCAAGCTGCACGTCCATGTGAGAACAAGGCAGCACCTCCCCCACCACCTTCCTAATATCACCCACCCAGATCAACCCTGAGTTATTGATCTGATTCAGGGTGATGTGCAGGTTGTATTTCCGGTCTGAAGTGTTCCGGAGACGGAGCACCAGTTGGAATTGTTCGTCTCCAGCGATAAAGTGAGGGAGGGATTGCACTGTGACGACTAGCTCGCCCTGTTGTTGGATTAGCCGTTGTAATTGGGATGATTGGAGCCGGCCCCTCTCTCCAAAGTTGCTGAGCCACATGATATCTAACTTACCAACCGAAGATACCCCCTTTAACATTGGAGTTCTCATCAGCAGTCATTTTAGGGGAGAGTTTGTAAAGATACTGCCAGGTATCATCAGGATTAATGTAGTCACTGTCAGCGAATATAGAGTCTCCCGTGCCGAGGAAGTTGAGATCAGATACCGTGTAGAGAGGAGAGGGAGCCAGCACTACTTTCTGCATGTGTAGCGGGTGAGGGGTCGTGTTTGTTATCTGGGCTTCCAGGAATATCTCCTCATCTGAGGTTGTAAAGAACTTGGTCCTGACATCCAGAGGTTTCAGGACCTGGAATTTGTAATATTTCCTAAACATCTGCTTCTCCCCGGAGGTATTTATGTAACTGACAGTACAGACCAGCAGCTGTCCACCTAACTCTTTAACCTCGTGGGTAATCACCTCACTGATATTATCCCCGGGGACTAGTTTCGACACCATGGCTTGTCCTGTGGGGTTACTGAGGGGCATCCTCTGAGAGGAAGTCTGCAGATCTGTCTTCAGCACTACATCCCGTACAGTCTGCTGACTATCATTCTGTACGTTTACAAACGAAGCGAACGTCTCACCGAGGTAGATGCTGCCAAGGTTCTGAGGTACAGTGAGGACCTCTCCGTAGGGGTACGTAACCAGGTTGGGTATGACGGTAATGTCCTTGTCACGGTGTGTAACCAGCTCTTCTCCACAGTAGTCATCCTTGTCAGCTTGGAGGGGCCAGGAGGGGATAATGGCTGGTTTGGTGAGCCGCATCACGCGCAGGGCCAGCGCGTGGTTCCCTGTTGTAGCCGTACTCGGCTCCATGGTGCTTTGGGGTGCGGTCTAGCGCTTACATTTAGCGATCTGAATGGTAGTACTTTAATTGAATGGTATTTATAGATATACTTTGTATTTGAGTGTATTGTTTTTGATTATTTTAAAATATGCATTTTAAGCTAAGGATCAGAGACAGTCTTTAAAAATCGATTTGGAATAAACAAAAAGTAAGACGAATGCGACACAAATTCGATTATTGTATTCATCAAATTGAAAATAAAAGCAATTATTATCACAACATTATGTACACAGCCACCGAAAGAAAAATTATGATTTCTGAGAAATCATAAACTTTAAGGAATGAATAAAACATGAGTTATTAAATGATGCATAAAAGGTTAAAGTAATATAAAGTTCAATTTATCAACAGAAAATAGGGTAGCTTCAACAAACATTCTTACACTCTCACCAAGGTAGACCAGCATATCGCTATCATTGGTTTTCTACTTTAGCCGACAACTCGGACTTTCGAACAGTCAAAAGATACACAAGACGGCTAACTGAAGGATTATCAAACGGACTAAACAACCTAGTCAACAATTCTCACGCCCGCTATGAGTCTTCAGTTGCTTTTTTGCGCGTCCTCTTCGTACTGCCATCACCAGAGGAACTCCCTTGATGCTGATGCTCACCCTGTCGCATCTCCTCGTACACTGCAAAACTGTCTCTTATAGTCTTAAAAGCTTTGCAAGTCGCATAAGGTGTCCCTGTTAAAGGGTCCATGTATTTAGCGGGTAGCCTGGTTACAGGACAGTATAGTTTCTCTGCGGGTTGTATTTTAGGGTGATGTTTCTGAAGGAAGTGTGGCACAATCCTGGGGTCTGAGAAAGTGACAAAGTTGCGGGTGCAGTACCGGAGAGCGGTAACTTTGTGATCTGAACCTGTGATGCCCTGTTGGGGAGAGTTGGCGCTGAGACCGCCTAGTTTCACTATTGGGGCGGCGATGCTGTGGTATCTGATGTAGGCGCCCATTGTGTTACGACGTTTTGTGGCGCGAGTTTTCTTTTTCTGCTCCTCGTGCAGTCTGAAAGCGTGGAGGAGTTCGAGATTCTTCTCCTCTGTAAGCCGACACTCCTCCATTATTTCCTCCTGTGTAGGCATCTTCCATTCTCTCTTTGTTGATTTTCTTTTAGCTCTGTTCTTAGCTTCATGTTCTCGTTTCACTTTAGATAGCTCTGATTTCACCGTAGTTGTAGTCCTTCTCGAAACTTGTAACACAACAGTCGGCTGAGTCTTCCTCTCCTTCTTATCTCCACTCCCCTCTGCCTTATCTCCCTTCTCCCTCTGTTTTGGTCGAGGTGGAGGTTTAATCTCCCACTGTTTCCTCTTCTTCTTCTCCTCCGTCTCCTCCGACTCAGGCTCATCATTCTCATTCTCACTAGCATCAAAATCAGAGTCCACCATATCACTCTGATCATGCTCGGTACTGTAATCCCCGTCCGTTTCTTGCTCTTCAAACCCTCCGTAAGCCGTTTTGTAGAAGTCGTCCATTGTGTCCTCCTCCATCATCAGGGCGGCCATGTTGGCTCCCGCCCGAACTCGCCTCGGTCTTTCTGACATTTTACCTGATGTACAAGCTTGGGTTAGGTGTATGTGGTTGAGTTACATTTAGAGATTGTGTCAAATCAGTTTGGTGTAATATGCATGGCGGATGCCGGCCGAATGGTTGATAATTGAGATAGCATAGTTCATACATGAATATTTTCGAATTCATTTTATAAATTATTCATCGTCTGAATTTTGAACAGTATGCTTCGAAATAATCACAATGATACTCGACTTTATCATAAAATAAACTAATTATATGATATTTTATGGAATTTATACATAAGATAATTTGACCGGTCAGATTAAATTTCAGTATGTTAAAATTGATTTAATAAAAAAGAATGTCTAAACGCTCTTTACTTTTAGGCCCACTCGTTGCACCATAACTCCAGATCTCTTAACAATATTAAAGTAAAAATCAAAGAAAAAGTGTACGAATAGCACCGATTAGACCTTACATAAATTACTCATGTAAATGTAGGAGATATCTGCTCTGTAATAACGAATAAAAAATAAGAAATAAAATTCTTTTTAGCAGCCAAACTGCGTATATCGGGGGGGGGGGGGGGGGGGGGGGGGGGGGGGGGGGGGGGATCATACACTTAGTACCGGACATGACGTTGGTGGGTGGGTCATTTTTTCTCCCAAAAACACAGTTAGTACATGGTACTAACTGGTGGGTCTACTGCCCATTTTCCAGAAAAACAGTTAGTACATGGTACTAACTGGTGGGTCTACTGCCCATTTTCCAGAAAAACAGTTAGTACATGGTACTAAGGGGTTCATTTTTTGGGTGTCCAACCCCAAAAAAAAACCATTTTACCTCGAATTTCAATTTTGGGAATGGGTTTTGAGGTTTTTTTGAGTTTTTTTTTGGGTTTTTTGTAATTTTAAAATTTTGTGTGTAACTTTTTATCTAATTCGACTACATTGAAAACAAAACCCCTACTAAATAGTGGGTATAATTTTCCCATTTCCAATGTTTAATGAGCTGTTTAAAGCAATTTATGGGTGGGTATCTTATTCTATATACCAAAAAACAGTTAGTACCACGATTTTTCGACAGTTAGTACCGCAAAAGGCGGCAAAAGGGGTGGGTGTCTTACGTATTATCCAAAAAAACAGTTAGTACCGCAAAGGGGGTGGGTGGGTCTAGTGAAAAATATCCAAAACTACACTTAGTCGACGTGATGTCCGGCACTTGGTACCCCCCGCGTATATACCGATCAGCTGATCGACACAAATAAGCCGTAGATTCTAATCATAATTTAATCAGATCCTCTGCTAATTAGCTGGTAATGATCTAATTAGCTGCGTAGAACTTGAGGGTACGGTCGTTGGAAACACTAGCCACGTAGTTTACGTCCGGACCAAACCTAACGTCCGTGGAATCTTGGGTGTGAGCGTCCCATGTCACGACAAGATCGCATTGTTTGCTGAAAGGGGTTCAAGTAAATGATAATTTTGGACTAAACGTTATTCTTTCGAAATGTGTAGACATTAACAATAATACCTGCATTTTCGTGTCAAGAATGCAATGTTTCAGGGATGAATATCGAATATTTATGAACAGTTTCCCTAAAACTGAGCGGTTGACCTAAGACGGCCCTAAAAACTACATTTGACTGACCTGATCTGATAAACTCTGACATCAGGTCCAGCTACAGCCAAGTAGTGACCACTGTTATCAAACGTCAGTCCTCGAACTGTGTACTTATCGTCCAAAGAGATGGTCTTGAAGTTCCTCAACTTCCTCAGATCCCATAGTTTCACAACTTCATCATCAGCACTGAGGAGGAAGAAGATAAGTAATCAGAATTAGGTTTAGGGCAAGGATTAACTCACCACCCTGATCTGCGTAAAATAACCACAATCTTTCCTATGATTATTAAATTAATTAAATTAATTTTAATCATGTTTCCTATGATTATTAAATTAATTAAATTAATTTTAAAGTTCAAACCTAGTAGCAAGATAGTATCCATTCTCAGAGAAAGCAATAGCAGATATGGGACCACTGTGACCGGGGAAGTTAGCAGCACTCTTCTGTTCCTTGAAATCCCAGATCTTAACCAGAGAGTCGGAGGTTCCCGTTCCGAAGATAAGACCATCAGGATGGAACTGACAGCAGGTTAAACCGTGGGATACAGATTGGTCAGCTACCTTACACAACAGTTTTCCTGGAGGAGAGAGGGGGGTTTGTTTACATAATTAATTATTTCATTGATAAGATTCATAATATACAATGTACTTAAATTATTTTAATTTAATTGGTGTATTAATTGAATTTGTTACGAATTTTCTACGTATTACATAAAGACATAAGCCAATGTTTAAATTGTAAATTATAAGACTTATTGTAAAACCGCGCTTGCACTCCCACATACCATGTTCAATATCAGAAAATCCCCAGTGCTGATCAGCAGAACAACTCAGCATGTAATCCCCAGTGGGATGGAGAGAAAGTCCGGTTACCGGACCATCGTGTATCCGGAGTGTGTGTTTACAGGTCTCTTCTCCGATATCCCAGATACGGACATGGCTGTCCGGAGAGGCGGAGATGATGGTCTTCTCGTTGGGATGAGCCACCACGTTTGTAACCTTCTTCGTGTGACCTAGACATGGGTTCAGTGTTAATAATATACGTGGTGACAGACAAAATGAAATCGATACAACGGTTAAATACACTCCATTGACCGATTTAATCAGAAAGCGAAAGCGGTGGAATACCTTTAAGAGTACAGACGATCTTCTCGTTCTCCTTGTCAAATACCACAATGTTCCTATCAGCTCCTCCAGTTACTGTTCTCTTGGTGTTAGGAAGCAGATCCAGACACAATATACCCGGCAAACTTGCACTGCAAAGTACGTGTTTAGAGTTGCACTGTAAAGTACGTGTTAAGAGTTGCACTGTAAAGTACGTGTTTAGAGTTGCACTGTAAAGTACGTGTTTAGAGTTGCACTGTAAAGTACGTGTTTAGAGTTTCTAATGCAAATGGTTTGAATTTGTACATTGAAGAGCGATATTAAGATAAGTAACATGATCAAATCAACTTTTTGCCGAATTCATGAAACATTCAGAATTGTTTTCCCAAAAATCGAGGACTCAACACCTCAGATCACGTACAGCTGTATAGTTTCTGACAAACCTGTGAAGGCCAGGATGGGAGGAGGTTTGAGTGTAATGTTTGAGTTGCTGAGCAGTGGGGAGGCCCTCTGGCATCTCCTTACCCCTCTTCTTACGGAGTGACGTGAGCTTAACGTGGGTCTGTTGCAGCTGCTGGAGCACTTCATCAGACAAGCCTGGGAGGAGGGTTGGCTGATTATTTCAAATTGCTTAATGGATAAAGTTGTTCTTAGTTGTATATTGAAAGCTTCAATATGAGTGTAAATAATTCTTATATAGTGAATTGAACAAGCAGTAATCAGATTGAAAGTATGTATATGAAAGTAAGTGAAAAGTAAGAAAGTAATCCTGTCTGATCCCGACTAACCAATTGGTACAAGCTGGGTCTCCACCTCCATTGGTTCAGGTCTAGCAGGTTCTGCAGGTGCAGCAACATGGACAGGTGCAGGTGCTGGTGCAGCAGGTTGCTGTGCAGCTAGCGCTGCTTGTGGTTTCAGTGTGGCCAAAGCTTCTCGGGCAGCAGTCACCTAGTGGCAGTATCGTTATAGACCTATATTTAAAATGGAGCAAAACAAGATTTGACAGATTTTAAATATCTAAAATATCCAGGGCCATGATATGCCAATCAAATTATGAGCTTGATAGGGCTAGGTTAGCACATATATGTCATATTATATGTAAAATGTGGATTATTACCATTTGAAGTATAATTTGAAATAAATACTTAAAAAGTTTGTTAAAGTTAGACAGACCTCCTTATCCTGACGGGCGATAACACGACAAGCAGCGTCGTGTTGATAGAGCGCGTAACTCAACTCCTGGCGCGTCATCTGCAACTGTTGTCGCAGTGTGTAACTGTGCAGCATACATGCGTCCCATTCATCCTGGAGGAGGAAATGTTAGTGATAACAACACTAACGATTCAACATTGAATATTTCATGAAAAAGTCAAAAGTAAAAAGTGTCATATGAACAAATAATGTAACTTACATTAAACGAATCATTGGTTGTAAATCAGATAAATTGAAATATAAAGAACAAGATTAAAACCTGCAGTATCTTAAGAATGGCAGGAATGCTGGTGGCAGTTGGAGGTCTGGGTCGCTGAACTGGTGATGTGTTTATCGGTACAATCTGAGGGAGGATTTAAAATAACTGCTGATTCCCATCATGGGAGAAGTTATTGATACGAGGGTGAAACTCAGAGCATAATTACTTCGACACTATCAAATTTTAGTTAATTAGAAAACCTAATGATGAAAGAAAGAGAACAAACAGAAAATCTAAACTCTTGAACTCCACAAACCTGCTCGTCAGAGAGCGGCTCCCCGTTGATGGGATCAGTGCCATTCTCAGAGATATACTTCTCCAGCAATCTCTTCTCGAAGATGTGTTTGCTGGTGAGGGAAATGACCGGTTCCTCCGGTACCTCGTTACTCAAAGAACAGATCATTGCCATTGTGATGGTAGTTCTGAGGCTATGGAGCGTTGAGGGTTGAGTGATGGAATCTTACTATATATAAAGCGAGACGATATATATATGTGTCATTTTACTGACACCACGGCAACAACTTTAACGCGACTTTCCGCAAAAACCGCAAAAGATATACAACTGAAAATTTTTTGACTGGATCAAATGCTTTAATGGCCTTCAAATCAGCATGAAAAAATAAAAAATTGGCCAAGGAATAGTGATTTTAGAGCCCGAAATTTGGACCCCCAAGTGGTGTCAAAAACGCGAATTAAATAGGTAATAATGATTTTAGTCTCTTGAGTCTTGACACCATTTAGGGTTATATTATACGGGTTGCTGCTGGTTAATGCAAAGGTTAAGAGACTTGGTTTGTTTAAATCTGCCCAAGTTGGTAAGAAATAGATGTTACAAGATTCTATAGAAAAGATTTTATACCATTTCAATGAAGTGGTTAAGCCATATTGTAGAGTTATTATCAAGAATCATTGCAAATATCTTGTGACGAAGATCAGACGATAAGAAACGACATAACAGAAATAGATCTGCATTTAAATGTAATTAACAATTAATTTACAACAACGTAACTGCAATAAATATCTTCTCAGATAGGGTCCAGTATTAGTGAAATATATCCGTACTATTGTTGTAATTACAAGGGAGCTGACTTTATCTTAGCTCAGCAGGAATACATTAATTAGAAAGCCCGGCCCATGAACATTATATGAACCTTGTATTATAATTTAAGGTATTTAATCATAGAAAGATTAGAAAAGATTCGTTCGGGTAATTTAACCAAACAGATGCTCAAGTACAAAATCTGGCACAAACCCAGAACTGAACCTATGGTTAGATGATACAAATAGGAAACTGAATGGTCAAAAAATAGGCATCTTCTTCACTTCATATAAATTTGATTTTAGCATATAATATTCGAAATAGGTTAGAATATCCGGTGCAATATTTTACTGTTCATTGTATGTCTAACGAATCATCGTACTGAACGATTTTCCTTTTCGAGTTACTGGAGACAAAGTTAGAGTATTTCTCTTTGCTTGACTTCAGGGGTTGCAGTAAACTACCTGACGTCTTAGCTTGGTCCTAAAAAATAATGAAGGTTGTTATATATTCAAAAACCGTAATTAGTAAACTAACAAACTGGTAGAGCACAGCTTTATTTCGAGATTCTTATCGAAACCTAAAGTCTAAACCTAAAGTCTAAACCTTATCATAAAACAAGACCAAATTCTCGAAAAATTATGGAAACAATCAGAATATTTTCTAGTGAAGAAAGGGTTTAACTTAAATTTAAAAAGTTTAAGTATGTCTTACGTGATCGAAATAAGGTAGGTTAGGAATGAACTCTTTATCTGGCGGCGTCCTCCCTATCGGCGGAATGTTTGGCGGCGGCGTATCTGGTGTCGGTATGACAGGTGGCGGTGTGTCCGGAGTCTTATCCGGCATCTTACGTTCCGGCGAATCAGCTAACGACAGAGGTCTTGCTTTAACCACCTTGGTTGTGCTGCGATTCCTTTCAAATTTACAGGATCGTTTGAAGCCTGACTTCTTGTTCTTCTCTTTCTCATCTCTTTTTATGGACTCTGCCTCGAGTATCCGCTTTGCGGCGAGTATCGTTTCTTGCTTTGTCAATGTAGCTGCATAGAAAATCAGGTCAGTCCAAAATTTTGCTACAAGTAAATTATACATATATTATAAGGCAAACTAACAAATTTTAAACTGGGGGTTATCGAATAATTTAGAAACATTTTTACTGTTACATTTATATTTTGTGTTTCCTAACCTGGTTTGCTGGCCTCTTTGACCTTTTGTTTCTCCTCCTCTTCCTTCTTGTCCTTCAGCTTTCTTCTCTTGGTGTGAAGCAGCGCCATCTTCTTTACCAGGAACTCTTCTGTTGCTGACTCTTTGCCGAGGTTGTGGACAAATAGTGACATGATGATTTGTGTTTATAGCTCACCTAGAGGATTATTGGGTGATACTCGGTTATAACTTATAATTATAGTTATTTGTTACTGTGAGATTTCGTTTTACTATCACGAATAGAGATTAAAAATCAAAATTAAACCAACTTTTTTGTCTCATAAGCTGGCCAAACTATTATATTACTGATAATTATCACAGATTATGATAATCAGTACAGTTAAAGTTGTTTCAGGTTTTGGTGATAATCGTACTGAAATCATGCACCATCGCTATTCGTTGTATTATAGAATATCATGTAAAATTTGATTCAGTGATTCAGCCAAGCTCAGATGAAAATCTGGATGTTTTCTTGAAATATAGGCTAGATGAGACTTTATCTCAATTCTTATTAAATTAAACATACAATTTAAAGCACAATATTTAAGAAATCAACATTTTGTAACATAACCCCTATTGAACTACTGACTAATATATCTAACATACTACTCCCAATACTATTTCATCTTTGGTAAATGTATGATATAAGTTATAATAATTTTACATTAAATAATTAATGTTTTATGAAATTGCTGGAATATTTTGCTAGGCAAACTTGTACAGCTACAGGCAAGGCAAATGTGCATGCATAAAAAATATAACGAAAGAAACAAAACAAATTTTTTTTACAAAATACATTGCAGATCATCTGCACACTAAGATAGTCATTTTAAATTCTATTTAGTGAACTTTAAAGAAACATTACTGATTTATTAAGGCAAAAATTAATCTAAGATTATTATCAATACTAAATAAAAATGTACAACGCATTCTTAAAATATGGGAGTAAACCAAACAAACTGAGCATCACAACTGATAACCGTTATCTCCTCATTACTAGACACTAATCCATCAACCAAACTTGATATACCTTCGGTGTCAGAAAGATTCACATCGAATCTTCGAGCTGTTTTCAGTAAAGCAGTCGAGTTAAATCCGATAGACCCCAGATTAATTGGATATTTAGGACTAGCCAGCTTAAACTGAAGAGGGTTACAAACAAATTCCTCTTCAGCAAAAACAGTGGGCCAAACCCCAACTTTCTCAATATCCCTGACTTTATCGAAAAGTTCAGAAGAATAAGTCCTATCAAGGTTAGCAAAGAGAACTACTCCAGAAGAGTTGCTGCTGGTTACTAAGTAATCTAAAGCAATGTTTCTCAGAGCATTGCACTTATTCCCACTCTTCACTTTTCCTTCGCTATCAAGGTGTGTGTACTGAATGTTGGTGTTTACCAAGAAGTCTGTCACTAATTTTGTCTTTGTCACCTCCAGAACTATCCATTGGAGATATGGGATGTGCGCCTAGTGCTTGCGCGAGGAGGGTGAGCTCAGCTAACTGTGTTTTGCGGGTGTAGGTGGGGGTGATTATGTGGAGGGTTTTGAAGGAGTTGTCCGAGTTAATTGCTCCCATCTTGTGACCTGGCAAAATTGGAAATTCATCAGAATTTACATTGCTTTAAGCAATTTATTCTGAATCATGACTTAGAATAAAACGTTATTGATTATTCATATTAAAAAAAGAGATGTTAGCCTACTTTAAAAGTTATACCCACAAAATAAATCACATTTCAATACGTGATTAATACCTGACTATTAAAGTCATAATGGTCATACCTAACTCTGAATCACAATGTACTAGCTGACGTTCGGCTTCAAACAGTTCCAACTCAGCTTGGTTTAGCTTATCTGTCAACTTAGCTTTTTCCTCCATTATTTCCATAGACTGAAGGGATCCCAGCATGTAGCCAACTGAGGAGGTGAAAAGGACGACAAACACTCCAACACATACCTTCTTATTGGAAGCAGTGACAAGGCGCATGTTTAAACTTGTGGAGTTGATTGAGTTGAGTACATTATCCCTTGCTTGAAGAGAAAATAATCTGTTAAAATGAATGAAATCCTCAACGATTACAACTGGGTTACAATTGTCCGAAAAGTGATTTGGTAGTAAAAATTACATTTTAAACAGTTTTTATATTGCTGAAGTTTCGAGTCTTATCAGATGTAACACAGAAAATGAAAATTCGGTAATTTATCGATTGTATAAATCAAATACTAATTATTTTTACAAATCATGACAAAATCATGGTAACATGACAATAACCTAAGTGTACCAAGATTATTACATTACATTGGCTGTGAGGTTATTCTGGGGTTTACTGCTATGTCATTAAGGTTAAGAATACTCCAAAAGCTTACCACATTTTCCGTCTAGTAATAAATCTAACTCTAATAATATTATGTAATTACCAATGTAATGTAATTATGTTTGTGCAACGCCTTAATATATTTGATAACATATCAAATCACGAGTCACTGAAAGACTGTGAGAGGGTCCTGTATTCATAAATGGATAGGTTTCCAATGAAAAAAAATACAATTTTCAAGTAAATAATTACAGTAGACCCTTGATTCACTGGATTTGATTTACGTGGCCTAAATTAATTTTCCCAATTATGAGCCGAAACGTCGACAACTATTTGTTTGAAAAACTGAGTGGAGACTTTCACTTCCTCCCAAAACATCAATTATATTCAAGGGTTTACTGTATTATGATAATGTTCTATTAACCATAATTGTTAACAGTAAAAATTCTTCATTATAACATCATTTAATAACCTGATATATCTAAATGTTTATAAATTAAGTTCAAAAAGTATTTTGAAAACCGGTTGACAATGTCTTTTATCCCACTATCTAACTTATTTAATAAATCATCTATAATTATATGAAAAAGTTTGCCAAATGTTATTGTTGATAAATTTACATAGGCTCTGTCATTGCATGCAGCCAATCTTTAAGCTCTTGACTTCTTCCAGTTCCTCGTAAACAGCTCCAACTTTCTCTCTTACAGTGAGATGGTAATGGTTCAGCCAGTCAATTTGGCCAGCAGTCATCAGCTTGGTATTGATGAGCTTTCTTTCTATTGGTGCCATGGTTATTGTGTTGAATGTTAGATGTTTACCTTTTTCAGGACCAACAGATGTTTCGACAACTTCCACCAAACTTTCAAGCCGCATTCCAAACTTTCCACTTTCATAATAGCCAGGCTCATTTGACAATATCATACCCTTTTTGAGACCCATCTCATGCTTGCTCATCCTATTTCCACCAGAAATTCTGCATGGACCCTCATGAACATTTAGGAAAGATCCAACACCATGACCAGTGCCATGCTGATAGTTTAGTCCCACATTCCAGAGAGGTCTCCTTGCTAAACAGTCCAAACAGGTTCCTTTGGTTCCAGGTGGAAACACAGCCATAGCCAAATCAATATGGCCCATCATGACTCTAGTGAAGCAATCCTTGTGGTAGTCAGTTGGTTCACCCAGGTGAGTTGTCCTGGTAATATCAGTAGTTCCATCCGAGTACTGAGCTCCAGAATCACAAAGATAGATATCATCTTTGTCTATTTGAAGGCAGCTACCTTTTTCAGGTTTGTAATGAATGACTGCACCATTTGCTCCAGAACTTGAAATAGTATCAAAACTGAGTGATACATATTTGTCATGCTTACTTCGAAGAAGTTCTGCTTTGTCAGCTCCATCAACTTCATCAATCACAACACCTGGCTTTTGAACCTCAGTTTGCAACCAGTGAAGATATTCAGTCAAGGCAGCACCATCTCTGATATGACAGTTCCTCATCCCTTCAAGCTCAACTTCATTTTTAATTGCTTTGAGCTCCTGCACAGGACTCATGCCACCAACCCTGTTCTTTTCATCGATTGCCTGGAAAATGGCAGCATTTGTGGACAGGGGAAGAAATACTCTTCCTTCTAGATTTTTGACATCAGAATAAATCTCATCATAAGGTTTAATAGATGTTGAGGCATTGGATAAATATTCCTTTATCTCAGTAGACAACTTACTCTCATCCACATAGAGAGTAGATGTAGACTGATCTATGACAGCAAATGAGTAGAAAACTGGATTGTAGTTGACATCATTGCCTCTCAGATTGTAAGTCCAAGCAATATCATCTAAAGCACTCAACACAATAGAGCTGCACAGTTTTGATTTTAATTGCTTTCTAACACTCTCCAACTTTGAGGGAACATCTTCTCCTGCATATTTCATGCTATGAAGAAAGACTGGAGCGTCTGGTAGTGAAGGAGCATCATCCCAGACAAGGTCGATTAGATTTTCCTTGACAGAAACAAGTTCAATACCAGCACTACCAAGCTGTTTCTTGAGAGTTTTAATCGTGTGATGGAACATGTTTTAGGGTCAATTCCAACTTTATCATTGCTACCTAAATTAGCTGCAAGCCATTCTTCTTCGCTTGGGGTTCCAGGCATGAATGCTTTCATCAAACCCCAATTTTCGTCCATCTGTTGTTCAGCTTGAAGAAAGTAACGTCCATCTGTCCATAAGAGGGCTTTCTCCATCAAAACAACTGCTGTTCCAGCACTACCAGTAAAACCAGAAATGAAACCACGCCTAAGAAACTTTTCACAGACATATTCACTCATGTGAGCATCATCAGAGGGGATAATGTATGCTGAAAGTTGTCCGTGGCTCTTCATGAGAGCACGCAGCTTGGATAACAGTTGGCCAGTCTTCTTAGCCATTGCTGCACTGTATTACTCTGAGAATTAGGTTAATTAGAAGGAGAATTAATAAGTAAGTAGTGAGAAGAATATCTCTCTATTTTGGTGACAATTTTCCCAATATTTTGTGAAAATACACACAACTATGCTGTCACTTGAGCATCGCCTGAGCTCACATCACTGTTATGTGGGTTAACATGTCCATGGTGCCCATATTAAGGGCAACTGTTTGAACTCCAATGTTGACTGCAGGATTTTGTAGGAGCGGATACAATTTCTTTCGCGATTATCTGCAGTCCTACAGAAGCTGATAAAATTGAAAAGATAAACCGGAAATTGGGAAAGATTTGTTAATAAATTCATAAGGATTCTACGCTCCTATTTTATGATCTAGATTTCCTCAAATGATTTTACAGGCAGTTAAAATTCAAATATATTTTACATCAATTTACACATTAAAAAAAAAAAATATCAACAGGCAACAACATTATTCATGAAGGTTAAGAAAATATTAATAAACTGAGCACTACCAGACTGCTGTTGGAGTGAGAATAATGTATGTAAAAATTATTCAAATCTTTCAAACAAAAAATTTCTTTTCTTCAAACAAAAATTTCAATTTTCACCAAATATTACAATAAAAATGAGGGTAATACAGTTCAATTTGATATTTAAAGGAACTCGAAAGCCTTGTATGCATACCATGCCAGTAGTTTATATTTCCGCTAAACCAAAACACAGCGGTCCAACCACAATGACATTGGCGTTAAAGGCTAAATAATTAACCACTCAAAGACCTGCCTGTAACCTAATATGAAGTATTCTTGAACTCTTATGGACCTGCAGGGAATCTGAGGAACGCTTGAGACTGAAGTGGCAATTTAATGACAAGTTTTGGATTGCTGCAATATAAGTGGTGGATGCTGTTATGGGGGTTATCTGCTCGTTACATTGGAATTTTAAAACCAATCTATTTAGAAATATATAATTTGTGGTTACAAATAATTTAGAGTGAATGGTAAAATTTGCCAACAACTACATACTTTGTTTTTGATATTTTGAACAGGACAAAGTCAATTATTGATTGAAATAAATTTTCGTGCACATACAGAATGAATGGTTAATAATTTAATATATATTATATGTAGACCAAGGTCTGTGCACGGGATGCTTCCTGGAAGAATCCAGTTCTTTTAGCGGGGCACCCTACCTAAAGCCAAATTGAGATATAATAATCATATTCCTAAGAAATAATCAGAAATCGAATACCAATCAAATAATATGATATATAGGAGTAGTAATCATATTTACTATGCAAAATGCCCAAACCACATAGTGTAAATTTATATAGAATTCAAATTCCATATCATCATTAAACCTCAATAGTCAATATAATAGCCCAAGCAAAATTAAATAACTTCTTATAAACCTTACTGTCATACTACAAATTGATTAAACATTTGAAATCTGTTAACCAGAGAATAAATTTCTAAACCTAATGCAAGTGAAATAATTTAGATGCAATAATGAATGCCTAATGTGAGTATCATCTGTCCATGTCCTTGTAAAACAGTCTGTACAAGAGATATGAGTAACTAATATAGAAGAAAAAACAGGAAGTTGTCGTCTGTTGAAAAATAAATAAAATATCTAGAATATAAATTAGAATATAAAATAACATTCAGTCAATGTGTCGTCAATAAACTGTACAATTATCAAATGTTAAAACTGGGTGATACAGTCACCAAAAATAAATACTAAGTATGATAAGTTAATAAATTAAATGTGGTCTATAAAACTACCACTAGGTATAATAGGTCAATAAATTAAAAGTGGTTTATAAAACTACCACTGTGCGAATCCCTTCTCCAGTTAAAACATGTCAGTCATGTGCAAAATCAATCAGAATGGTAAGGTGGTCAAAAAGGGAATATCCTTTCGACATAAATTATATATGCCTCAGATTTAAAAGAATTAGAAGATACTTAGTTATCGTCGACTATGATTGCAGTGTAAAATTTGTCATATGAATTGTCGACGGTGTAATTAGGGTCTGTTGTTATAGATGAGAGTAGCTGTTTCTTATACGAATCACTTAAGCTTTTAACATCGGGCAGATTTCGTAGATCTGTTGGAACATTATTCCGACATTTTGCCCCCAAGTATTGAAAGTTTTTATGTGATGTTGATCTATTAACATATAGGTTGCAGCTTTCGCCGCTCCTACTACCTCCTGATATGTAACTAAATTTGTTCATAAAGTTTGTAGGACAATTGTCATGGATGATTCTAAACATATAATTTGACAGATGGAGTTGTCGTCTAAGATGGAGTGGTAACCATTTCATGTCTCTATAAACATTAAGGCTGCTCTCTGTTTGTGGAACGTTGAGAGCTATTTTGGCTACCTTTTTGTACAGAGTGTCAAGTTCAGCAAGTTTTGTCTTGCCAGCTCTACAATAGATCGTGTCTAAATAATCGAATTGTGGCAACATGAGTGCATTGGCAAACATTTTCCTATATTTAATGGGTAGCAGTGCTTTGCTTCTATACATGGCACCAATTCTCTTCATGACCTTCCTAATAATATAATCTACATGGCTTTTGAAGTTTAATTTACTATCTAGAATGAGGCCAAGATATTTTGTCTCTTTGCACTCCTTGATTGTGAAAGTTACCTCATTACATTCAATGGTTAATTCATCATCTTGATCAACAGAATCAAACAATAGGAATTCAGTCTTCTTTTCATTGAGTGATAATTTATTAACACTGAGCCATTTAAAGATTGTCATAAGTTCTATTTTCATGTTTATAAATGTGCTTCTGCAGGTTTGATCAAAGAATAGTGCACCATCATCTGCAAATAGAAAGGGCTTAGATAGGTTACAGGCATAAATGATGTCATTTATGAAGATACTAAATAACATAGGCCCAATGATGCTTCCTTGTGGTACACCACTCAGAACTTCTAAAAATGAACTTAGTTTGCCATTGATCCTTGTGCATTGATATCTACAAGATAAGAAGTTCTTAAACCAGGTTAAAGCAATGCCACCAATTCCATAATATGCCAATTTTTGAAGCAATATTTCATGATTCACTGTGTCAAAGGCCTTCTTAAGATCAAGAAAGATGATTCCTGGTTTATAAGACTTACTTATAAGATTTACTCATATATATTTCGTCCATCAGATCGTACATCAAATAAGTTGTGGAGTGATTTTTCCGAAAGCCATATTGATGCCGGATGAAAAGTTTGTTCTCTTCCATGTAATCAGTGAGTTGCTTGCCGACAAAGTATTCTATAAGTTTTCCTATAAGTGGAAGGATGGATATTGGCCTGTAATTATTAGGATCATCTTTCATTCATGCCTTATGGATGGGAGTTACTCTAGCTTTTTTACAAAGGGTTGGTACAACACCTGTATTAAGGCTCAAATTGACAATATGGGTCAGTGGTTCAACTATGTGTGGTACAGCTTGCTTAAGTAAAAATAGAGGCACATCGTCATATGAGGCCTTGTCATTCTTGAGCGTTTCGACATACATTAGGATATCAGTTTCATTTATTTCTTGGAATCTATCAATTGAGATGTTAGAAGTTCTAGGAGGTAAAAAATCAGTAAAACTAACTCTTTCAATACTGGGGGCCTGATTTTGTAATCTTGATCCAACATTCGCAAAATGAAAGTTAAATAGCTCAGAATCATTCTCATTGATAGTTTGACAATTAGTTGTACCAGGGGTCATATTTGGTGCCAGTTTGATAGTTTTCCATATCCCTTTAAGATCATTCTTGGCACTTTTAACTTGTAGATCATCGATTACATTAGCCTTTTTGCAGGTTTTAGCTAATTTATTTCTAATATTTCTCTGAATCTTGTAGCAATCCCAGGCCTCATTACACTTTATACATTTGCTACATGTACCACATTTATTGCAATTTCCATTGTCTCTCTTATCCTTCTTTTTACGGAATTTCTTTAGAAGAAAATGTGTATGATTAATGGCATTTAATTATGATTAATTATAAAATTATATGACAATGTCAATGAGATTATCTTTGACAGAAACAAGTTCTATACCAGAACGACCAAGATGTTTCTTAAGAGTTTTAAATCGTGGGATGGAACCAAAAAAAAAAAAAAAAAAAAGAAAAAAAAAGGGGGGACCCCCAACCCATGTAGCTGAGACACCTCACAGCAAGTAGACCAAAGTGGCTCTTGCTTGTGAAAGGTGCGTCAACTACCCGCCGAAGCGGTGGGTTGGGAGTCCCCCCTGGGATCATTTCGTCCGTAAAATTATATACAACATAAAATAGTACAGTAAAATATCAAAATTTACATAAACAAATCTAGGAGACCTCAAAGCTCGTCTTCTGGGGGATGAGGTTGCGATGGAACATGTTTTAGGGTCAATTCCAACTTTATCATTGCTACTTAAGTTAGCTGCAAGCCATTCTTCTTCAGCTAGGCCAGTATGCTTTCATCAAATCCCAATTTTCATGATATAAGCTTCGTTTAGCACGACCAAAGTAACGTAAATCTGTCCATAAGAGAGCTTTCTCTATCAAAACAACAGCTGTTCCAGCACTGCCATCAAAACCAGAAATGAAAGCACACCTATCGGAATTTTCGGCAGGGATAATGTATGCCGAAAGTTGTCCGTGGCTCTTCATGAGAGCACGCAACTCTGACAACACTTCATGGTTCCACATGGCTGCACTTTATTACTCTGAATGTTATATTAGGTTGGTTAGAAGGAAATTAAATTAGCTGATGGTTAGAAGGAAACTGGATAAAGTGGACGGATATGACACGCGTAGAACACTCCATGCATGTGAGGGTCATCCCAAATTATAATATGCCCAAAATGACTACTTTGTGACAATAATTTACACAATTCTATGGTGTAACAAGTGAAAGGCTTAGTTGAGGTTCACAAACTTCAGATTGTGCATTGGCGATTTAAACTAGTTTTGTGCATGCAACTGTCATCTTCCCTCAAGATTTTTCCTAATTTTTTTTTTTT